GTCCCTGTCCCCACAGAGCTCATGGTCTGTAAGGGAGAAAGGACAAATAAACTGTAATTACAATAATTACGGTGTTATGGAAAACCCTAATCAACCCCCACCCTCCCTTTTTAGGCTAGAAGGGGGAGTAACCAAGGAAGGCTTCAGAGAGGAGGTGATGTCTAACCTAAAATCCTAAGGAGGAGCAGGAGATCACCCAGTGAAGAGGTGGAGTTAGAGAGCTCTGGGGAGAAAATACAGCTTGTGCAAAGGCCCAGAGAGGAGATGGCAGGAGTGGACATTTAGTGGGTATTAGTAAGTGGGTTAGACTGGCCACAGCATAGGATGCAAGGCAAGTAGTGCAAAGCTGATGGGACTGGACAGGCAGGCAAGGGTTAGAGCAGGCAAGAGGACATAGGGGGAGGGACTTAACCCAGGAGGTAATGGGGAGCCTTCAAAGGGTTTCAAACCAAGGTTTCAAACATGTGTTTTAGGAAGATCCCTTACATTATGGAGGGAGGGGTGGAGGAAGAGGCTGGAGCCTTCCTGCTTGTGAAAGATGGATGAGGATGGAGAGAAGGGGACAGATGAGAGAGATCCTGAGATGGCATAAAGGTAGGATGAATCAGGATGTAGGGAGAGCAGCTTGGAGGAGGGAAGGGGTTAAAAGAGGAAGGAGGGCACAAGGTACCCCAGCAACTCTAGCTAACCCAGCCCTGCATGAAAAGCCACCACCCACCCCATTCTAGCTTAGCTGATGAAGGCATGGAAGGATGGCAGCATGCCTGGAGCAAGCAGGGTGTCCACCCTGGATCGTCCCTGACACCAGAGCTAGGATGGAGGCTGTCCAGGAGCTCAGCACCCACCCCCCACTCTGGCCACTCGCACATCTTCCTGCGGAGTCCCTCCCCCACCCCCAGGGAGAAGGGCCAGCTGCCCAGACAAGCCTTTATTGCCCAACCTGAAACCACTGGGCAGCCTCTCCCTCATTCCTGCTGTCCACAACTCCAGCAACCAAAAGGACAAAATGAGCTAGAACGCAGCAGAATAAATTACTGCCAGATTTGCATGGCTCAGAGACATCACCACCCACCCTTTTGGGGGAGGGAGACTCAGGAGGCCTTCAGGGAGCTGGGCTGACTCTAACCAACGTGGGGACAAGGGGAGATCACACCCCTTCTACTAAGGGCTTCTGAATTAAGCTCAACAGTAATAGCTACAGGTGCTAGGAACTGTGGAAGTGAAGTGACTTGCCCAAGGTCACAGGGACAGCGTGTGGCAGAGACAGATTTGCACCCAGGTCCCTCTGGCTTCAAATCACAGTCTCTGGCTCTGTAGCAGTCCTCAAAACCATCTTTTGTTCCCTGGCACTCACAAACAGAGCTTTAGTTTACAATCTACCAAGTACCATACACCTTCATTATGAAGCCCATGGGGCAGATGAGGAAACGGCGGCCCCAAGAATGGAAGTAACCCACTCAAGATCTCACTCCCAAACCTCAGTCCTTGACAGTCTCCCCTACTGGCAGGAGCTGGGGCACCTGAGGGGTCTTGAAATCAAGATGATGGTGGCAGAGATGGGGGAGCATGTACCCTTGGTTTGATCTCAGGGTCGGGGAGGGGGGCAAAGTTGCTTCAGGACAGGGGGAGGGATTGGGGGAGGATAAGGAGGGAGGTCGCCTTAGGCGTCCTCTCGGGCACCTAGCGGTCAAAGCTAAAGCTGTGCGCGATGGCCTGGGACCGCTGGCCCAGGCAGAGCTCAGAGCCAGTGGCCGGGCGGCTGCAGGTGCCCAGGGAGCTCCGCCCGAGGGGCCGGAG